ATTCCCACAAGGATGTTGGAAATTTCTCTTCTTTAAAAACTAAAAAAGATCGCAAGGGAGACCTGGATCCAAAATCTTGGAACCTGGCTCAGGAGCTTCATCGCATTTGGCAGGAAAAAACAAACGACACGATTCCAACTCTTCGTTTAACGGCAGGCTTTGCAGGGAAACTTCTCAGCGCTTTGAGGATTTATTTTTCAAATTCGTTAGAATTATGGAAATCTTATTGTGAATTCTGTCTCTTCCAGTGTTTTTCTTATGGGAAAAGTTGGATCGTTCAAGGCCTGGCTAATTTGGGTGATTATCCAAGAGACTATCGAAAAAATAAAAAAGGGAGACTGAGGCATAAAAAAACCCTTTCAATCCTCTAAAGAACTTCTAACGCTTTCAAAAACAGAAGTGGAAAAGGATATCCAAAGCTCCTCAGAGTCTAAGAAAGTAAAATTGTTGAGACAATGTGTCCTCAAAAAGATGGAAATCGTACTAATCAAATGGCAAGAGCTGGACAATACTTTGTAGGGTCTCCTAAGATCTGGTGTAAAAATCTATATAGCGGTTTATTTTATCCATTTAACTGCACATCTGAGCTATTTAAAAAACTTAAAATATCTCGGACAAACTCTAATATACTTTGTAAACTTTCCTCTGTCCAACGAGCTTATCTTGATTTTTTTAATATCCTTGTTGACAAGCATAAAGTGGAATTTTCAAAATCTAACTCTCCTCCCATCCTGAATAATTTTCATGAGACACTTAACGAAAAAGGTTATTTTATTTTAAAAAAAATTATTCCTCATTGGATGCTCCCTAGATTCCAACTCTTTTATAATTCATTGAACGAGGCTGGTTATTTTGAAATAGATAAATCGCAAGTCATTAATAAGCGCCATGGACTGTGTAATGATGCTGCAAGCCTATACATTCAAAACTGTTTAGCCTCTATTTTAAATACAGTTCTCCCCAAAAAAATAAAACCTACTTATACCTGGATTATGGAGTATTTTTCTGGTGCAATATTAAGGAAACATGTTGATAAACCTCAATGCCGTTGGAACGTTTCATTGTGTATAGAAAATAAAAATGGAAACAATCCATGGCCCCTTTTTATTGAACATAATAAACAAATAAATGTTATTGCATTGCACCCTGGAGATGCAGTTTTTTACAGTGGAACAAAGTCTCCCCACTGGAGAAATGAATTAGTAGATAAAAAACACTACAACATTTTGCTTACTTCATTACGTTTCTAAGGACTATCACGGGACTCTAACTTAGGGATACTTGGAGAGATACAAAAGTGGGGGCTCCTCAATTAGCGTAAGGGTTTTGGGCTCCTAATGCCTGTGATTTTATCTCAGGGTATCATATCTCAAAAGCAGGCCTGAGCTCATTATTTAAATTTTTGACCTGAAGCTGGAGAAAGATACTAAGAAGTCTGATAAGTGTCTAAAAAACGCAAATTTCTCATCTTAAAACGCTTCTCTCTTTGGGGCATCTCTGTTGTTTTGGCATTTGTGTTTGTGGCTTACACAGCACAAGAGCTCGGAGAAATTCACCTTGCAAATCATGGGGCAGGGGCTCCACAGATTTATGCCTATTTGGAGGCGTTCTGAAACACCCCCTATAAAGCTTGAGTCAGGGATGTACAGAAGGCTAAGATGCACATACTGGCGATAATGGAAAGCAGGGAAGAATCGCTATCTTCAGCTCAGAAAGAGAGGAATCGGTAACGACCTTGCAAACCAAATAGCCGATAGTAGCAAAAGGCCTTGGCATGTGTGCAACAGTCCTGCACTGTGCATAGCCTTTCCTGAAGCATATTTTAGAGATCTTGGTATTCGATTAACGTGAGTTGAAACCAATCAGGGTAGTTATCTGAACTGCCGTATACGGACCTGTATTTACAGTAGTGTGGGAAAGGGGCGATTATGAAATTCCTCCCTTTCCCTATCAAATAGTCATAATTATAACAAGTAGAAACAGATTTAGAAAAAATCTTTTGTATCAGAAAAAATTCTCTTATAAAAAACAACTTGTCTTTCTTTTGGCTCAAAATCTAAATCATTATGAAATCTTATTGATATTTCATTTTCTAATTTGGAATCCGAAAATATAGAGTCTATTCCCTCTGGACCGTCTTGGCCGTGATACTTCCGACATAATTCAGTTGATCAAGAAGTTTGACGAAATGCGAGTAGCTATCCGATTTCTTGATGATGATATCAGCACTGAAGGTAAGATGGGTAAAGTGGTTGTCACGATTTTATCCGCAGTGGCTCAGGCAGAATGTCAGCGTATTCTTGAACGCACAAACGAAGGCCGTATCAAAGCCAAAGGGGTTCAGTTTGGTCGTAATGGTCGTAAGCGAACCGTTAGTATTAGCTATGAGAAAACAGGGAATCGGAGCAAGCTATATTGCTAAACACCTCTCAATTGGAAGGTCAACCGTCTACAAAATTCTCAAGACAGCATAAGCGTAGGTTTCTGTTCAAATACACCCGCAGGTCCTAAAAGCGCCTGTTTATCCGAAGGACAGAGAGTCGACATAAAGGCGTTTCCTCATCTGTGGACAAAGGTAGACTGGGAGGATATTCAGTATGTGATCGTTGATAAAGGCTATGATGATTACGATGTTCGCCAGGCCATTCGAAAAAAGGGAAAAACACCTGTGATTCCCAGACTGAAAGGAGCTGTTTGTTCAAGTGTACAAGACAAGGAAAGATACAAAACACGCTCAGCTATGGAGCGCTTCTTTGCTCACGTCAAAGAAAACAAGAGGCTCGCTCTGCGTTTTGATAAGCTTGACACTACGTTCTTCCCATTCTTTGTACTTGCTCCTATGAAAGTTCTTAATTTATTTTGTTAACAGTACCATATCTATTCATACTGTCTCTTTTTTCTTATCTTATGAAGAGGAAAGAAAATACCATGGTTAAAGATTATTCTTGTCACAAATTTGTTGGAATTTTACTTCTTTCCTACTTAGAATCTACTGCTATTAATAGACCATAAGGATGGTTCAATGACAAAAATGGCCAAAATTCTCTCTCGAAATGTTAGCTTAACTTTTGAGAGAGTTTTTTCCGCTGAAAAAGGAAGTTTCACTTATTGGCGTATGCGTATTCTTTACGCATCCATTATTGGATATGCTGCTTTTTATCTCGTTCGCCAGAACTTCTCTATGGCTATCCAAGTATTATGGGAGAATTTGGATATTCCAAAATAGAAATGGGGTGGATTGCAACTATATTTTCAATCGTATATGGAATTGGAAAATTTGTGAATGGCTACTTAAGTGACCGATCAGATGCCAGATATTTCATGGTTGTGGGGTTATGTCTCTCTGCGATTAGTAGTATTTTGATGGGTTTGGGTTCAGGCCTTTTCTTTTTTGTTCTCATGTGGGAGATTAATGGTTACTTTCAATCTATGGGATGGCCCCCATGTGCTCGCTTAATTACACATTGGTTTAGCTCTACCGAACTAGGATCAAAATGGGCGTTGTGGGCCTCTTCTCATCAAATTGGTGCAGTTGCAATTTTTAGCCTTGGGGGATTACTCATTGAAAGATATGGTTGGCGCTCTGCCTTTCTTGTTCCCGCATTTGTTTGTCTTGGTCTTGCCTTCTTCTTATTTAACCGCCTCCGCGATACACCTCAGCAAGTGGGACTCCCTCCTGTAGAAGAGTATAAAGGAGATGTGGTCCATGTTTCTGAACATTATCAAGAACGTATCACTTTAAAAGAAGTACTAACAACTGTCCTTGCTAATAAGCTTGTTTGGTTTATGGCTACTGCCAACACGTTCCTCTACGTGCCTCGAATGGGGATTTTCTTTTGGGCTCCTACCTTCTTAAAAGAATTGAAGGGGGTTTGGTCATTGCTGGAATGCAGCTCGTAGCCTTTGAAATTGCCTGCCTTTTAGGAGGATTAACCGCGGGATGGATTTCAGATAAAGTTTTTGTTGGGCGCAGGGGTCCTGTTGCTACCCTTTTTTTAATAGGATTAGCTATTTCTCTTTTCCTTGTTTGGAAAATTCCGCCTGGGTATCCTTTTTTCGATGCTTTGATGCTAATGATTGCTGGTTTTTTGCTGAATGGTCCCCAAGTTCTTAATGGTGTTGCAACAGCAGACTTTGCTTCAAAACGAGCTGTTGGAGTTGCAACTGGTGTTACAGGCGTATGTGCTTATGTTGGGGCCGCCATTGCAGGAGTAGGCATTGGCGTCATAGTTGAAGAGTATGGTTGGGATGGAGGATTCTTGCTTTTTATTCTTACTTCCCTTATTGGGGCGTTCTTTTTTGCCATCACTTGGAATAACCGTGCAAGAGTCCTGGATGAAAATGGCTATAACCGGAAATAGCTTATTGAAAAAGAATTACCGTTCTGACGTGCTTTCTTTTTCGTTGCATCACCTCTTTAATTATTTTTAGAATTATAGAGGTATCAGCTTGAAATGGTATACAAAAAACATTCTAAACGGAGGAGTAAGTAGACTTACTCCACTAATGATGCGTCAACCGTTCGTCTAATTGAGTGAATCAATTAAAAAATTTATTTGAGAAATTAGAACTATATAGATTAAAGTAAGCTTCCTTTCAGAGATAAATTCTGTTAAAAGTACACTGCATTGCCCGTTTGTCGCAACAAGTGGAAGGCGGTACAACAATTAACTTAATGCGCCCCTTTGTGCCAGAATCTTTAAGATGTATTGATTGGTCTGGGCAAGAGGTTTCA